TTTGACAGAGAGAGATACAGCGAGAGAGGGAACACAAGCAGGGGGAGTGGGAGAGGGAGAAGCAGGCTTCCCGTGGAGCAGGGAGCCCGATGCGGAGCTCGATCCCAGGACGCCGGGACCATGACCCGAGCCGAAGGCAGACGCTTAGCAACTGAGCCGTCCAGGCGCCGCTGTTCTAGATGCTTTTAAATCTGAACCCTTGTAACTGGTTTTCAGTGGGTCATTGTTGTGTCATAGTGTTCTTCATGTTTATTCTGCTTACCAGTTGTCGAGTTTCGTGGACCTATCAGTTTATAGTTTTCTTCAAATGGAAGATTTTCATCCATTATTTCTTCAAATACCATTTCTGCCCACACCCCACTTCTATCATTTTTCTAGGACTTTGACACAGGTGTTAGAGATCTTGACCTGTTCTGCATGCTGTTAATGCTCTGTTCCTCTTTAGTCTTTTTTCCGTCTTCGCGTTTGGTTTCTGTTGCCGCGGCTCCAGCGGAGTGATCTGGTTTAGTGCTGCGTCGACATCTGCTGTTAATCCCAGCCACTGAACTTCACTTCAGCTGCTGTGTTCATCTGCCTTTCCTTCACGTTATGTTCATGCTTTCCTTTAAATTTGGACCTATTTGTAATATCTAGTACGGCTGCTTTTAAAGTCCTTATCCACTAATTCTGTCATCTCTGTCACTTCTGGATTTGCCTCTTCGCAGATTTTCTTCTGTTTCTAGGCCACGATTTGCTGCTTTTTTGTTTGATTGGATCCTGGGTGTCACAGTGTTGAGTCTCCCTTGTCTAGACCATGCTGATACAGAGCCAGCGGCCACTAGTGGCTGGTGGAAGTTTTACTGTGGCTTGTCTCCATTTAGATACGATGAAAATGTGAACTACAAACCAGAATTTCAGAGACCAGTACAGAAAATGAAATGTAAAAATATTTCATTGGTTTATTTGGATTATACGTTAAAGAATGTTTTCAGTACGTTAGATTAAGTAAAATATGTTACTGTAGTTGAATGTTAACATTAATTTTCGTCGGCTACTAGAAAATTAAAGTTCGGTGTATGCCCACGTTATATATTACTGCTGGGCAAGGCTGGTCTGGCTTACTGTGTTCCTTTAAAGAACATTGATGTTCTTTTTGGCAGAGTCCTTGTGAGTCACCTGATTTCTTGGGGTTTGTTTTTAAGCTTTCTTAGGGCGGGTTTAGGTGGCCTTTACGTTGGGTGAGTTTGGCCCTGATACTAAGGAATGGCCCTTCTGGGGTCTCCTGTGGTCGCCAAGTTTCAGTGAGGACTAGCTCTGGCCGGGTGGAGTACGGGTGTGTGTCCCCATGCGTGCCTGGCCCCGCAGTGTCCCATCTGTGCGTGCACAGGTTACTGTCCGCTGGGCGGGTCCCTCCTGGATTTGTGGAGCTCCTGCTGGGAGCTGTGTCTTCCTCTTCAGACTTTGCCCACCAGCCGCCAGCCAGTGAACTCTCACTTCTCCGCGTGCTTGGCCACAGTGCTCCAGGTGCTGTTTTCTGTTCTGTGGCCTGAAAGTTTACTCCTGGGGCTGCCCCTGGGCACAGTGCCTGAGCCGTGTCTTTATGCTGTGTGGTGCTTATAGCAGGACATTAAAATAGTGGTGATATTTCTACTCAAGTTTATAAAAATTGCAGCACAAGGGAATTTCCAGAACATTATCACAAACAAAAGATTTTAGGTGCAGAAGTTTGCAGCCTCAATGATTGTTTTTAGGTACATGCACACAACTAGGGTATTTTGAAGGTGATGCTCCTGCCAAATTGTAAGGCAGTTAGGTTTAGGCTTCTGATCTGCACACGTGGCCACATGTGGCTGGGGTCCCTACGGAATGTGGTCACGTGATAGTGGTCCCGGGTGACTTTGGGTCCCACTCAGGTTGTGGTCGCACAGTAGTTAAGTGTGAGCCTCTTGTAGGCTTTGTGCAGCCTGAGGAGAAGGGTACGTGGGCCCGTAGCCCAGGCCACCTGAGGGCCCTGGTGCCTCTTCATCCAGCAGGTGAAACCGCCAGGCCTGGTATTTTTCCCTGAGACACAGGGCACAGTGTCGGACTTTTACTTTGTGTTTTAAGCTGTCCAGTGCTGCAAGAACAGGTTGGGTGCTCTCCCACTTCCTCTTCATCCTGTCCAGGGTGCTCCCAGGGTGCTTGGCCCACCGGGGATCTTGGCTGGGGCTACGTGAGTTGGGCCCTCCGTGGGTCTAGTTGGCTGTCTCGCTCAATCTCTGCCATCTCCATGGAAGCAGGCAAGGCCCAGCTCTGACTTACAATATGGTATGAACATCATGGGGCAACCCCAGCAATAGTGAATAAACTGTTTTTAATTCACACTTGTGTACATGACGTGAGTGAAATGTTCTGTATAAAACTGTTTTGGAAAAACTGGCTTCTCAAACCTGTTTTGATTTGCAGAGGAGAAATGTTCCAGTGAAGCCTCCAGACGAAGTGAAGGTGAGTTGTACAGTCATGTAAGTAAAAACCCAATTATTAGCGTTCCTGTGCGGAACAGTCATGTTCAGCCTCTGATATGGGGTGGCTGAGGAGAGGTGCGTGTGGTGTTTTATTGAGAAACTGATGAAGTGGTCGTCTCCTCCGCCGTGATTTTTAATGACTGGAGCGAGGGATGGAAAGCCACGGTACTTCCCCTCTAGCCCACACGCAGCAGCTGTGGAGCAGTGGCCACGCCGGGGGCTCTGTCTTCACAGGGCCCCGGGAGGGGTGGGCCTGCTGGGGCCTGTGGAGCGAGGAGCAAGCTTGGTTTCTGGTGCGGTGGGTTCTTCCGGCCCTCCCAGGAGGTACTGTGTGCTGCCAGCCAGGGGCATATGCACTGCATCCTTGTGAGTGAGGCCAGCTTGACAGATCCATGTCCTCAGGGCATTCCCAGCACCCAAAGTAGACTGTTTGCGTATGAGGAAACTTCATCGTGGTCTGGCCTCAGTTTCCCCATTTTTCTCGTCCCTTGGGAGTAATTTGGAGCGTGCATGTTGATAACAAGCTTTGACCACAGCCCCTGTGTTGGAGCAGAGGCACCAGGCCTCTGAGCAAGCCGTGGGGGCCTGGGTCACAGGTGTTACCTGGCCTTGGTGGACGGAGGGCCCGCTCCGGAGGCACGTCAGGTGCCCATCAGGTGGGGCTCATCGAGTGACAGAATGGGGAGGGTGGCATGGATGTCTCCCCTGAGGGGTGTGCCTTGGTGTGGCCAGATTTGAGATGCAGGCAGGGCTCTGCTCGGGGTCTCTTGGTGACGCGGATGTGCCGTGGCATGGAGCACAAGTCCCACAGGGTGTCTGCTGTCGGCTGTCTTGAGCTGGGAGCCCAGCGCCCCCTCGGTCCTACCACAGTGCCTGCACGCAAACAGCCCAGGGCAGCCCCGGGAGCTTTCCGAAGGGGCCTCCTGCGGTGCCAGGAGCACCAAGCCCCGCTTCCCCACCGTCCTCCTCAAGCCTGTGGCGGCAAGCAGCTGTTGTGTGTCTTTCCCGTTGGCAGGCGGGGTGCGGCCTGTCATTGGCGAGGAGGCGCCGGCCTCTCCTCGTCTCCCTTCATTCCGTTGGTGCTCGCACCCCTCACGACATCTGTGGCACGTGCTGCTGGCACTACTTGGGGCTCCCGGACATCGCTGCAGATGTGGCAGTCGTGTTTTTCTTTAGACTTAAGTTTCAGCACCCCCAAAGGCACAGACTCTGATATCAGACAACGTCCTTTCCAACGCTGCCTTGGAGCGTAGATCTCCGTGCTTAACAAGTACGCAGAACCAGCTGATGGGAAGGTGGGCATCAGCGTAGTTTCCTGTAGGGGAGCCACAGGGCTCTCGCCCCCGGGATGCTTCTTGGGATGTGTGGGGGGACTGTGGCTCTGTGTGGTTTCTAGGGAAAGAAATTGTGAGCAAGCCAGCTTTTTTCAAATTGTTTTTACAGGCTCCACGTTGCCTCATGTTTTAGGGTCATCAGGTAAACCTATGAAACCTTGAAAGCCGTAGGTGTGGGATGATTGTCCCAGGCATGTAAGGAATAAGGGCCTCGTGTGGGGCCCTGGGCAGGATAACAGTGCCAAGCCTCAGTCTCTGGTTGCAGAGCAGGATGGTAATGCGGGGGTGGTTGTAAGACTCTGGCAGTGCTCACTGCTGGTGTATGGCTACTGCTATACTCTGTAAATGTGAGCTCTGCCTGGTGTGTTGATGGCCCAAAGTCATCACTGTAACAGATCCTCTTGAGAGAAGTTATTTATCAGAGCATAGACAGAAGGGACTTTTATGAAAGTCAGAACAAGCAAATTCTCGGATCACCCCAACAAGACAGTCCAACAGAATGGGGTTCACACCCAGATGAGACAGCCCAGTGGGAGAGGGCGCACACCCCGGCCCAGATAGTCTGACGGGAGAGGGCTCACACCCAGGCCCAGACAGACTGACGGGAGAGGGCTCACACCCAGAGAAGGCAGCCTGGCGGGAGAGGGCTCACACCCAGAGAAGAC